TGGACCCTGCTGTCTTCGGTAATACCTCGGTAATTTTCCTTAATAATTGTAACAACTTTTTCACCTTGTTTTCCTCAAATATTAGGCTGTTATTTCCACCAAGTGTGTTTTGGACTTTAACCAGAGACTATGGCACAAATTTTGAAGTCAGGTTTATTTATTATTTATTTTTAAATTTTTTTCCAACTGCGGGCTGGCCCTGGCTCAGCCACCTGAAAATAAGTTATTTTTATATATATATGTAGCCATATAGACATACCCATCCACAGGCACAAAGACCACTTCCAAGTCTTTCTTAGTTTGTTGCATGTGACCCCACAGAACTCCTTGGACCCAGCTGACCAGGGTTTGATGCCCACTTCATGTGATCTGGCCAGACCCAGCTACTCCAAGCCCCTCCCCTCACAGGGAAAATGGCAAAAACTGGTGTGTAAATGTCTTATACAGGGCTTTGTATACATTAGATGCTCAATAAAGCTCTCATTTGGGGAAGCTGGATAACAGAAGTGGAAAGAAACAGAGGGACCTGCTTCACTTCCTTGTGAAATAAAAAAAAAAAAAGGAAGGGAGGGAAGGAAGGAAAGGAGAGGGGAAGGGGGAGAAGGTAGGATGGGTGAATGAGTGTATTATACCAGCTTCCTGTCCTTGGGTAAGTTATTTCTTTAACATCTTTGAGGCTCCGTGTTTTTATCTGTAAAATGAAGACAATAACACCTATTTCATTTAGTTGTTTCGAGGATTACACAAGGCAATGGGTGCACCCCGTACCCGATTTCTGGTTAGGGTTTGTACTGGCCCTGCACGTAAGCACCGTAGATGCATTAAAAAAAGGCAAAGGTTGTATTTTCATTTTTTCGAGCACCAACGAATTAGCTATGATGCCATTAATAGAATTAGATGGCCTATTACCATTAGATGAAGTTCTTAACATTTACATTAGGAACTGTGGGACAGGCTGGTCCCCATGAACTGGGGCAGGCTCTGGGATGGTTTTATTTATAGGCCTGAGCAAGAGGCAAACCAAACGCAGTCGTCCCTCCGGCAAGTCAGCTGCGACTCCAAGAGTGTGGAGCTGTCAGGAACTGAAACCCAGTCCGAGGCAAAAGTGAACCACGCTGCTCTGATTTCCTTGCCTGTGGGAAAGCAGGGGCCGGGGCGGATGAACAGGTCACTGGGTTGTTGCTTCTCCAGCACTGCTCGGAGCCTGAAGTCCTGCCGAGAGTTTAAGCAAGACCAGCGTGGGGGGTGGGGAACCCCCACAAATACATCGCATCTCTTATCCATTAAAATTCAAGATGACTCATCATTTTGTCTTCCTGGTAATCCAGACAGGGTCACTTTTCCAAAGGCCAAATTCACTGGCAGAACTTTTTAACAGGGGCATTCTGACTTTTTAGAAAAAGGCCAAAGTCAACATCAGAAAATCTTTTTTCTGGTCTGCGGTAATAACAGTCACTGTTTGTCAAACGTTACTGTGTGCCAAGCACTGCACATGGTGCTTTAGGTACTTTTCTTATTTAATTCTCACAACCCCGGGAGGCAGGTATTTATTCCCATTTTATAGATGAGGATAACAAAACTCAGATTAAGTAAAGACAGACACTGGAGCCAGTTCACTCCAGCAGAGGCTCCCACAATGACCCTCCCTGCACCTCCCAGCTCTGCGTCCAGTGATCTCACGTTGGTGGCCTGCAGTCCATTATGGTGGGAGTATTTACACCAGAGAAATTGGCAAATGGTACAAACCAAGGTCCCCCTCTTTTTTTCCTCTCTCATCCTCAACCTCATATTCTTTCTAGTTCATGTCTCCACAAGAAAATGAGCTTTAATAGAGCATCATTTGAGGCCGGGTGCGGTGGCTCCCGTCTGTAATCCCAGCACTTTGGGAGGCCGAGGTGGGCGGATCACCTGAGGTCAGGAGTTCAAGACCAGCCCAGCCAACATGGTGAAACCTCGTCTCATTAGCTGGGCGTGGTGGATTACAGCCATGTGCCTGTAATCCCAGCTACTCAGGAGGCTGAGGCAGGAGAATCTCTTGAACCTGGGAGACAGAGTTTGCAGTAAGCTGAGATTGCACCACTGCACTCCAGCCTGGGCGACAGAGCCAGAGTCCGTCTCCAAAAAAAAAAAAAAAAAAAGAGAGTCGTTTTGTTGTAGGCAATGCGTCCTCAGGAAGCTGGGCTGCTGGAAGAAGCTGAGCACTGGCTGAGCAGGGGTCCCTTGCTCCTCCTTCCCAGGGCCTCACAGATGCCTGATCAGGTATTACTGGTAAACACATCTGAGTCCTTTTCCTCATCAGTGCTAAGCGAGAGAGATTCCACTTAAATTACAAGGGCTGAGTAAGCTGGAGACAGGATTTACTAGGTAGTAATAATGTGCTCTCACATATGGTTCTTTTCATCTTCAAAGCATTTTATAGCCATTTACTAATTAGTCTTGGGCTGCCCTCTGTGTGCAGGTACAAGGCTCGATGACAGGCTGACCCGGCAAGAAGTATTTACAAATATACAGGTGACCTCCACTCACTCACAGGTGCCACTGGCTTCTGTTGCTGTTGCGGGGTGAAGATAAAATCACGAAAACCCTGGAGTTTGAGTCCCTCGTTCTGGAAACATACAGTGCTGACTGTCACCTTGTGGTGAGTCCCCTCTAACCAGCCCAAATCCTCCCCTGTGGCAAGGAAGTTGAAAGTCTTTTAAAAATAATCATAAATCTCTATCCTCACAAACCTATGTAATGTCCACCATCCTTCACTGGGAAAGACAAAAATCAGCTTCAGTTTGTTCATGAGAGTATGGACTCACATGAGAACTGGTGCTGGAGGGGAGCCAGGAGCCTGGGTTGGGTCTTGGCTCCGGCCATGACCGGCTGGTGATCATGGGTAACTCACTTAGCTTCTCTCATCTTCCGTTTCCTCATCTGTGGAACAAAAGCAACCCCATTCAGTTGCTCACAGCCCAGGTCTGCTGTAAAGTGTGCTGAGCTAATGTGTGTGGCAAAACTTCTGCGTTAGACTGTGTGCGCTTCGCTGATGGGCACGGTCTCGCTCGTAATCTGGGTCTGTGGGCCCCCAGGGGCTGGCAGGGGCAGGAGGATGACATTCCCAGACCACACTGCCCACGACTGGCTGCTATCACTGCTGAATGCTTATTTGAAATGCTGAGGGGATGTCCAGTCCACAGGACCTCGCCCCCTCCCACAGTGCCAACCACCATCTGCTAGAACTGGAACCAGAAAGAGCTGACTGAGCCTGGGCTTGCTTCAGACCCAGTTGCAGCTCAGAAGCGAGCCCGGGCTCAGTCAACTCTTGGTGCTGTGTACAGTAGAGCCCGACCCATACCCCTCCATCAGGGGAGGGTGACCCTAGCAATCCTAAGTGATCGTGCTACGGCGCCTTACTGGGGGGACGGAGGGGACATGGGGCATGGCACACAGCTGCCCCGAGTAGAGGGGCAGTCAGCAGGCCAGGGTCAGAAGCAGTGCCAGTGTGGTCAGCTGGCTTAGTGGGTCATGATCACTTGCTCAGTAGAATCGCTGGGGGAGTTTTATCAAAATCTAGAATACTAAGCTCCAGCTAGTGAGATTCCAAGTCAACAGGCCTGCAGTGGGAACTACCAGAGCAGTAGCTTCCGAAAAAAAGCTCCTCGGGTGATCTGATGAGCCGAGCCCACGATCCAGTCCAGCCTCCTCCTAGTATTAATATGATGGAGAGGAAGGGACTCAATGAAGGCCACATAGCCAGTTAATGGCAGGGCTGGCGTATGGACACAGGACACTGGACCGTTGTTCTTGTCCTGGGAATTCCCAAAGTTTCAGGGTAGGGGGCATAGTACCCACACGGTGAAAAAACCCAGAGCTGGGCTGGCTTCCAGCTGACAGGCATGACGGGAGGTCTGTTCCAGCTGATCTCCAGCCTCCTGAGAACATTCCTGGGTGCCAGAGAACACGGGAAGGAGAGGCACGCCTTCTCCTCACCAGTCCTCACAAGGGCCCAGGGCTGGTTCTTTTGGTCTCACCTGGTGGAAATGGGCTCCAACAGCCACAAAGGGAACTAAGGGAAGAGGTGAGAGGCCCTGTGAAATCATGTGTGTGTCCTGCAGGAGGGGCTGGTGGCTTCGCCTCGGAATGGGAAGGCCAGAGGGTGTCAGGGCGAGCACCCAGGCCAGCTCTTGCCCTCACCTCTGGGGGTGGTACATGGGCCCTGCTTTCCTGTGTGGAAGGCCATCAGGACAGGACCAAGTTAACCAAACTGTAAACCTGGTGATGTGGTCAAGTTGACGGCAGCCATCTTGTGTTTCAGCTAAGGGAGTGTGTGATGGTACAAGGAGGCCTGGCTCCAAGTTCCCAGATTTGTTCCTAATTTGCTGTTTCTAATTTGCATGTTTCCTTAACGCTTGGGCCTTAGTTCTCTTCTCTGTACACTGAAGGGAGTAACGGGGTAGAAACGAGGTGACTTCTGAAGACCCTTCTGGCTGTGAGGATCAGTAAGTTCAGGGAAGATGGTGTCTGCTCAGGCTATCTTCCCCAGCTCCGTTCCTGGCTGGCTGCACAGCCGCCAGGCCCCAAGCCCGGAAAGCAGACACATTCCCGTGATAACCCACGACACCCAAGCTTTGTCTTTGTGTATAATTCACACAGAGCTGCAGAGGCCCAAAGGACTCTCCCATCAGCTTAGGGAGAGGGGACGGAGAGGGGAGAGCGGGAAGGACAGAGCCCTTGGTGCACTCAGCAAACTTGAATGACTACCTACTGTGTGGAGCTGGCCTGAGCACAAGGTGCCCACACAGGGGGCTGGAGGGTGTGGATGGCCGGGGGTGGGGGTGTGTGTGCTAGAACCCATTTGTCATTGAGCAACAGCTTTTGGCCAGGCTGGGTGAGTGGCTGAAACCCAGCGGGTTGGTCAGACTGACTCAGGTAACTCCTTCTCACAGTGGAGGACTGCGCAGATAGGAAATGCTGAGGTATGAAACACACGTGCACGCACAGAGGGAAGACACTAGTTTCAGAGGAAAAACGGCGAGGGGCATTTAATCTTAAAACTTAAGAGGTCTCAGAGACAAAGGCTGTGGAAGAAAGGTGTGGGCATTCCTGATGCTTTTACTTTCCCCGGAAAATTACTGCACCATAATTTGTGAGTTTATTTCTTCCAACTAAGAAATAGAGGCAAGAAAGAGGGAGGAACCCGAAGTGAAGGGCTCTAGGATCCAGGGACCACCAGCCAGCTCCAGTTGGATTTCAGCAGTCGGGGCTGCCTGGGGTGTGCAAAGCTGCTGTGTGAGCAAAACGCTGCCGTGAAGACATGCCAGGCGGCTTCCAGGAAGCGGCTGTGTGTGCTGACACGCATGTGGACAGGCAGTCTGGCTGGCCACCTCTCAAGACTGGTGTTTCCTAGAGCTTTCCATTGGCAAACGCTGCCTCCTGGAACTGAGGGACAAAGGTTTTGAAATAAGCCCTGGTGGGAAAGAAGGGGAGAAAAAAAACTGTGGTTAGCACAAACAACTTGAAAAAAAGTGCAACTCGGAGCTTTCAAGCTAACTCAGAACAGTTGTTATTTATTGTTCATGCATGTCGGGCTGGATTTGCCTTCTCTGCTGAGGCAAAGCCCTTCGGATTTTTCCAAGGAGGTGCACGCAGTTCACTACTGTGATATCTCTCAGGAATATTCAAAGGGCCTGTACATGCACCCTCCTGGCTGCCAATTCCTATGAGATACCTGCACTCAGGTCCTGCTGCCTTTTTTCAGGACAAAGACAAGGGCCTGGTCCAAGCTACAAGACAGGGTGTGTGCAATTGAACCACACAGTCATTTAGAGATCTGAAGTATCAGGAAGGTTGCCTTTTCCACTCAGTTGGACCTTTGACTTCATAAAGACAGAGGGTCTGATAAGCTTTTTAACACATTCTATTTTTTTAGAGACAGGGCCTCACTCTGTGAGCCAGGCTGGAGTTCAGTGGTCCAACCATAGCGCACTGTAGCTTTGACCTCCTGGAGGCAAGTGATCCTCCTGCCTCAGCCACCCAAGTAGTTAGGACTATAGGCGTGTGCTACCACGTCAGCAATTTTTTTTCACTTTTTTGTAGAGACAGGGTCTTGTTACATTACCCAGACTGGTCTCAAACTCCTGGCCTCAAGGGATCCTCCTGCCTCGGCCTCCCAAAGTGCTGGGATTATAGGCCTGAGCCACCACACCCAGCCCTAATAATTTCTAAATGATTCATGGTCTCCATTTATTTCCAAACGCATATGCAGTCTGGTCTACTGGAAAGAAGCTAGGCTGGGTGTTAAGAGAACCTTCCCAGTCAGCGGAAGAGGGGTGGCAGGACCGGAGGCAGCCCATTTGGCCTTTTCGGCATCTCGGTTTCTAATCTGTGGACACAGGGCCACGTTCTACCTCAGATGTGCACCCGCCGAGCCCACACTGTGTCAGGCACCGTACAAGGCATCAGGCGTGGCGGGGTGGCCCAGCCATGGGACCCGCCACGTGGGAGACTGCAGTGTGGAGGAGATAGACACATGGGTGACCCCACATCAGGGCACCAAGGGCAGTCCCGCGGGCCGCAGTCCGGGCAGCAGGGAAGGGGCAGCAGAGGGGCATTCCCAGCAGCAGCGTGCTGTCAGTTGAGAGGTGAGGGAGAAAAGGGAGGGGAGGAGAAGGGAGGGGCTGCAGAGGAAGGAGGTGGGCACCCGTGCTCCTGGTCACCAGGCTTGCCTTCTAGCCCCGCCCCACCGACACCCACACAATCACAGTGACACCTTACGTGTCCAGGAATCTCACCTCAGAGCAGTGGCGAGAACCAGGCAGGGCCACCAAGAGCTGTCACCCTCAGCACTGCAAAGGCTTCATCGCCTCACCCACAGGGAGCCTCCCACAGTCCATTTTATTTAGGATCTGGTCCTACTGAGCCTGGCTGTACCGGCTCCCAGCTCCCAGGAGATCAGAAGCAGCAAATCCGCAGTGGAGGAGCTAACCCAAGGGCAGGAGGCGGATTCACGGCAGCAGTGAGAAAAGAACAGAAAACTGCTCAGGAGCACGAGCACTCACCGGGGTTCCTGTGCCGCAGGGCAAAGAGCCCCACGCAATCCGACAGGCCCTGGGGTAGTCTCTGGAGCAGAGCAAATGCAGCGGCTGGTGCCACCAGCTGCCCGCCCCCTTCAAGTCAACTGCAGCCCTCTATCCAATCTGGCCTTGGAATGCTCTGGCTCTTTCTCAGTGCAGGCCTCCACCATGGCCTCTGCAGCACTGAAATGGCAGCTCCTCTCTCTGGAAGCTCCCTTTCCCTGTGACTTCTGTGACATGTGGTGCCACAGCTGTCCTGCCTCTCTCTACCTCTCCCTGCCCCTCCTTCGGCACTCCCAGGCGCCATTGTCCTTGGGGTCATGCAGAGCAAGGTGGGAACTCCTGGGCCTGCAGCACCGCTAGCCCAGCCCTCCCTCCCCTCAAACTTCCAGTCCCATGTCTCCAACCACCTGTGGGACCCCCCACCTGTCACTCTGTAACTCACACCAGTGTTCCACATGGATGTTTTCATCACTTTCATGTATCTGAAAATGCTCTGACCAATTTGGTTTTCTGTAACAGAACCTTCAGTTTCCTTCTGAACCAGTTTCCATTCTCCCTAAACCCCTATGGCGAATTCATCCTCAAGGCTCCTGCCGCTAAGTCCCTCCATCCGTAGTGACTCCCATAGCTCCTGTCTTATCTTTTGATGGCACTGCTGCAGAAGCTGCTTCTCCCCTGGACATGAGGCCTCCTTTGACTTTGTTTGCAGCTACATTGATTCTCTTACAGTGTGAGTCTCTGTCCCTTTCCTGAGCAAGACCTTAACGTCCTCCAAATTCTCAGCCTGGCATTCAATGACTCTCACTATCTGGCTCCAAGTCATTAAGAAGACAATCTATTCTGTTCCTCTATCATGTTTTTTGAGATCATGCAACCCGTTGAGAAGCTAAGAAAGTTAAGGATCCTCTCCTCAGAGAAACTGCAGGTAAGACCTCCCCACACTGTAACTCGGGGATGTTACAGGCCCCCTAAGCCGGCCACGGTCCAGGATATGAGCCTTGGATCTACTCCCTCTCCCTTCTTGTCATCTGACTACCTGCTCTTCCTCACACATGCCATTTGCCACCTCTGGGCTTATTCATGCTCAGGACAAATACCCTTGCTTCCATCAAGTCTTCCCTGGTCCCCAGGAGGTCCTCTCCCTGCACGCTGTCCGTGCTTCTTCCGGGGCACTTCTCTCACACGCACAGGTCTTATCTGCCAGCCCCTGGAAAGCAGGAGCACATCCTGCTCCCAGTGACCACCAGGCCTGGCTCAGCGTAGAAAGCACTCGGTGATGGGCTGTGGCTTTAATGTAACTAATGATGGCCACCAGTTTGCAAGAAGCAGCTATAGTATGTCCATTACAAGCTGTTTAAGAAGGCGGGAGAGGTTGGGCGCAGTGGCTCATGCCTGTAATCCAGCACTTTTGGAGGCTGAGGCGGGTGGATCACCTGAGGTCAGGAGCTCAAGACCAGCCTGGCCAACATGGTGAAACCCCATCTCTACTAAAATTACAAAAATTAGCCGGGTGTGGTGGTGGGTGCTTGTAGTCCCAGCTACTTGGGAAGCTGAGGCTGGAGAATTGCTTGAACCCGGGAGGCAGAGGTTGCAGTGAGCCAAGGTCACGCCCATGCAATGGCGCCTGGGTGACAGAGTGAGACTCAGTCTCAAAAAAAAAAAAAAAAAAAAAAACGAAAAAGAAAAAAATGAAAAAAAGAAGGTGGGAGAGAGAGCAACCCCAGCAAGACAACAGGTACAGCATTTAGGTACTGAGGAAGAACACTTCAGTCCATTCTCAAATTTCAAACTTTGTCAACAGTAAGAAAGATAAAGCGCCCTCTTCCATCCACTTGTGATCAACACAGCCCTGAGCCAGCCAAACTGCCACCTCCTCTGGCACTCAGGACCCCAAAGTCCTTATCCATTAACGACACCATGCCACAGTCACCCTTAACGCAAAAGAGGAGCTGTGATGTGGAAGAAAGAGCTCTAGACCTAGGTGAGGCCGGGCAGGGCAGGAGAAGCCCTGGGCTCTGTTCTCTTACGAAGAGTAGGGGTGATAAGGCCACCTGATGCCACACTCGCATGGGACAATGTGTGGGAGGAGACAATCAACTGTTGGCTGCCACCCAGACGTGAGGGCCACTTATTCCTTCCATATGTTTCACCTGCTGCTATTTTCCCAGCACGTGGAAATGCGGCTAGAGAGAGTCTTGTGGCCCCACTTCTCCAGAGGGTCTGAGATCGACAGGCTGCCACCAACCTCTGCTGCATGGATTCTGTGACCTGATGTGCACTGCGGAGTCTGGCCCATCCCAGTATCACTTTCAGGGAGGGCCGAATGTGCCCCAAGTTAGAAGTGAGGACGCCAACTTCCCCGACCTTACAGCTACGAACATCAAGGGGAGAGGCTGCAGCTGAGCTGCTCTGTAGCCCCCACAGGTGCCGGATGAGCAGATGGTGCTGGAACCACTGCTGCCCTGGGTGCTGGCCTGAGCTGGGCAGGGGTCGGGTCCGGGGAGCTCTCCACCTACCTCCCCAGGCCCAGAGTCACACTGGGTCCCAAGGCAAGCCTCATCAGCTCAGATTTTCCTTGGAAACTACTAGGGGAAGGGGCTACAACATTGCAAGCTCCTTACACAAAAAGGTCTTGGCAAGAGGGAGCACATTTGAAAGGCAAGCTTTTCTCTTTTCAGAAAGTTCTAAAGTTTCCTGTTCTGTCCTGGGCTTTCCCTGCCAGGGCCAACTGCGTGCTGCCAAGGGGAAGCGTGGCGAGGGCTATTTAAAGGCATGATGCTACCAGCTGTTTTCAGTGAGTGCTTCTCAACTTGGATCCTCATTAAGTCAGTTAAGGGAGGGGGAGGAGAAGGAAAGGGAAAATGACAACTGGCTCCCACCCATTTATAGATTTTAAAAACACTGTTTTCACTTATTTCACTTTTTATCAGAGAAAATGGAGAGCTGCCCAGAGTACAGATTGCTAATGGCAAGAGGTATCTGTCATCTTTGAAAAGCCTTCGACCCAGAGACAAAGTATGTAGTAAGCTTTAAAAGTGTAAGCGTGTTCTAGGGGATAGTGAGGTCTCCTTACCTCCCCATTAACTGGCCAAGTGGGGCCCACAGGAGAGGGCCCTGAGTGTCAAGCTCCTCACTGAATGCACACTGGAAGGGAATTTATTTTTAGATGGAATTAGAGCTCAATATGCCTGAGGGCAAAATGAGGTTGGGGCCCTCTTCACTGATCTCAGTCTCACTGCTCAGGGTTTCATAAAATTACAACTCAGTCCAACCCAGGAGTCTCAGTTAGGAGAAGAAAACGTAAGGACTGGGTAGGTTTTCCATGAATTCACAGCAGAAGTAGGGCTGGCCCAGGCTTCAGCCCACAGGCACGGCATGGTGGAGGCAACAG